CGGTGACTTCGCCATCGAGGAATACCGTCTGGCCATGCACGAGTACGCGGTCGACCGCGCCGCTGACGACGGTGCCCTCGAGCGGGGACCAAGTGCCGGCCTTGTTGTGGAATTTCGCCTTACGCCCGACGATGACCTCGACGCCCGTGTGGCTCTGGTCTGGCAGGCCGAAGATGCGGACGGGCGCTTCGTGCAGGCGCCCGACAGTGGATGGTGTGTGCGTGTTTCCCCTTGCAAGAGGACCGTCTGGATTGTTGGAGATGGGCGATTGTTTTGAGCAGAAAGGCAAGCATTGAGCTTCCTTTCATTGTGTGTAAGGACTATGTAGACAAGCACACAAGTCTGCCCTTCATTCTGTGCAGAACTGGTAAGACGGCCTGCATCCCTTCATAATCGATGAGTCTCTTACTACATTCAGCACTACGAAGCATTCAAATGACTTAACATGCTGCCTGATGCGTTCCTAATCCACGACAATAGCTGCTCGTCCTTCCTTCTCTCCCTATCCCTAAGCGCCCGCCATCATGCGTGAACCCATTCTGCGACCGTTCTATCATACTTGATAGCTGAAGAGGCGAACTGGCGAGCACTAAATAGAGTAGGGAGTATATTGATCATGTATTCATGCACCCGAGGAATTCGGCCATACATAGCTAGACGTTCGAAGACGAATATCGCGCGCCGCGCGCGAACTCTGAGTCTTGCCTCCTGTGCACTTCATTGGGCGGGCGTGAGCGTTGTCGATGAGCCGTCGGAGACCGGGAACGTTTCCTTGGGAAGCGATTGTTGCAGGTCCACTGTACAATGAACATAAGGTCAGTTGAGTAATAAGACCGTAGAATAAAAACATACACACCTGGTTGAACGCGGACGATGGACGTATTCAAACTTGTGCGGGACCGTTGCGTGGCAACATCACACGTTCCAATTGGCTGGACATGCGTAGGCGGGTTGAGACCTTTGCAAGGCCGATGAATCGCCGGATGCCACTGTCACCCGTCTCATTGCAACACAATAACGACTCTATGATCATCAAATGAAGCTAACATAAAATCAGCCCCCCGCAACGGCACAAAATTGGCACATACATACGTACATTCCAATAGCAATGGGGTCTCCGTCAATGTATTCGGGTAGTCATGATGTCAATGGTGGGCTCGGCTTGCCTTCCTAGCAAGGTAAACAGTTCGTCAGTACCCTGAGATTAGAAACGGCGACAGCGGCTACCTTAAAACATTCCGTGTGACGATCTCGGTGGGACCGTACAACACGCGCCGAACCTATCCGCTCATTGAGAACGGTATCGATTGCATAGCATATGGCCGGCAAACGCCTAGCGTGTACGATCGTTGCGGGAGCCCGCTGCAGCGTAGCGCGATTGGGCTCGTGGCCACGGCCCACGGGAACGGATTGATGACAATGACCTGCGAGTTCAGCCTGACATCAGTCCCTGTAGGTAACAAAAGACTTACTTGAGAGGCCTTCTCGATGGAATGCAGCTATCGCTTAGCACATCCTTACACGCGTCATAGTCGAGCGCAGCGACCCATCCCGCATGCAAGAATGGCCTGAGGATCAATAAAGAAAGTCAATAACCTGAAATCGATGTTTGTACAACACGTACTACTCACGCACCCCGGCAATTCAGCCATACACAGTTAGGCATTCGAAGACCAGTGTCACGCGCCGCGCATGAACTTGGAGTCTCGCCTTCCGCAGGCCTCATTGAACAGGCACGCGCAGGCTGGCTGCGCAGTGGATACGCACGGTCCCAGTCCCAGAAGACGGGCTCGCCGAGGATGTCCTTGGCGATGTCGCGCACGTCGGCATTGGACTTTCCCTCAGCAGTAGCAAGGTAGCTTTTAACAGCCTCGTCGTCCTTGATCGCCGAGCGGTGGATATCCCGCTCAACCGCTGCGCGCGTCAGCACCGAAAACACGAGATTCAGGATCGCCGACACTCACTTTCATCGAACGTGACAAGCTTGTTGCACGCGAGCCACTCGGCCTCGATCCTGCACACCTCTGCGGCACCATCATCGCGTGCCTCAGCGTCTTCAACTGCCTCCACGAGCGCCTTGTCGCGTGATGTCACACCCAGTATTGACGGGTGGTCCCTCGTGCCAACGGTGGATGAGATCAAGCGGGTGCTCTCCGCGTCGGCGCGCGTGATGAGGAGCATGGGGTGCATGAGGAGGTTGAGCTGGAAGTGCTCGGCGATGAGGCGGGAGAGGTACGAGCATTCCCGATGAACCGTCGAGAGCCAGGAATGCTCCTTTGGGTAGCGATCATTACAGCCCCCTGCACGACGAATGAGATCAGTCGTTTGGTACAACAGTGCAGTGAGAACGTACGCGCACCGCCCAAA